GCATTCCTTACACACATCAGGACATCCCCCACACACACACACTCCACTCCCTGTGAACAAACTCATTGGTGGAACATGAAGGTGGACCCTGGGACCCAGACATTGAGCTGTGTAAAGGGCCCTCAAAAAAATGGAGCTGCTTCCAGTTCTCCCAGAACAGTGATTTTTGTGACCAGTTACAAACCGCCTCCAGAGGGCCTGTTGTACACCAGACCAGTGGAGCCAGACGGCAGCTAGAGCCCATCATCATCCTCATCTGGTTGTAAGTAGGCAATCTAGTATATTATTCGTGGCACTAATCTCTAATTTACCTCACATTAAAGGGACACTATAGTCCCCAGAACCACTGCAGCTTAATGTAGTGGTTCTGGTGTCTAGCCTGTCCATGCAGGCCTTTTAATGTAAACAGGCACTGCAGCACTGGTGTTAGTTAACATGGCAGATCATATGGGTGGGGCATTGTGATGTCACATGGGGGGGCGGCAAACTTTACTTTTGCCTAGGGCGGCAAAAATCCTTGCACCGGCCCTGTAGACACTGCATCCCTGTGGGCGGATTGGGGGGGGGGCAGCACTTTGGGCGGACTCGGGTGCAGGCACCGTGGGGCCCAGACCTTGAGCTGTGTCAGGGGCCCCAACATTTCTGATGGCAGCCCTGGCTACACACAAATACAACCCTGCATTCAAATGTCAACACTGTATACAGACACACCCCTACATTCAAAGGTAAACACTACACACAAGTAAACCACTGCTTTCAAATGGCAAATCCACCCCTACATTCACACACACACACACAAAAAAATATATATACTTACATGGTGGGGATCGATATAATGGCCATCATTGCAATAAGGGAGGTCCAAAAAAAGTCTTTCACCAGGGCCCTCTTCTTTAGTTCCACTACTACTACAAAAGCCTACCCTCTGGCAATTGCTCCAGGATAGACATTGTTAGGGCTAGTGGCTCAGAGACAGGAGAGCAGGCTTAGGATACTGTAAGGCACCTGTGGGGTGGCCACGCCTAGCCATCTGGATGGCACGGAGAGAACAGTGACAGGACCTCAGTGTAATCAAACAGATAATTTATATAAGGGAACAACATAATAAGATTTGAAGTTAGAGAGTGTGTGCTATAATGGGCATGTCTTAGAACAGTAATGTTTAGATGTTTATTCTCATCATAATTATTGTTTCCAATCTCTACTTCAGAGTAAATTTATCCAAGTCTGATTAGTACTGTTGTAAATTCTATCCTTTTTTAAAAAAAACATTTTGCTGGAATATTTTTTAATAAGGTCTTCCAGCAAAATACTCTCAATGTATAAGTAGAAATATAGTTCATTATTTTCACAGAATATGGTTGTATCACTTATAAATGTAACCATTTAAGCAGGATTTTTTCTGAGCTCTATTAGAAACCACCTAAAACTAAAATGTAGCAGGCTCTACAGGCCCTGGCAATTTATTTTGGGTAAACCTGTCAAAACCCAGCCCAAACTTGGTGGTACAGCTGATAAGGTAACAGCAAGATTCCTGTTGGAGATTTATTTCTGTATAAGATTAGCAGAGTCTGTAATAGCTTGGTATCTGTGTTAACATGGGAAAAAAACTGAAAAAACTCCAATGGTATTGTATGTAACTGCCAAACAATGATAGATGATATGTAGGTCTTTGTAATCTTACTCACATTTAACAGAGCTTATACCAGCTCTAGTACGATTCCAAATGCAGTGGTGTTGCTCCTCCATTGATAGGATATGCATTAGGGTACATAAAGCAGATATCTCAGAAGCATGATGTCCATAAAAAGAAGAAAGAAAGAACAATAGTGCTCTCTATATAAACCAGGAGTGATAGGAGGTATTGTACTCACATTTGTTTGAGCATAACAATCTACACAATGTATAAGGCGTAGGTGGTATAAAAAACACTTGGGGTTTTATGATTAAATCCATCCTCACTGGGACAGTAAGCTAACTTTACTACTGTTTTGGGGGTATGATGAGGGAGTCCCATCCCATTAGGTGTGCTGCCTTGATTTTGTTTTTAATTTCTGTTTGGTTATTCAGCACAGATCTCTTTTTTGTATTTCTTTGCAGTCTTGTACAAAAACAATACTCCCCTTATGATAATCTTTCACTAGGACGTGTTACTTTTTTGTACATCCTCTCCGAATCCAGTAAAAGGATAAGTCACTTTGCAATGAGAAAAATGGATTCAGGATTTGACTTGGACAACCTGATCAGCTATATTGGTAATTAACAGCAATTAGAGGGGCCCCTTCCAGCTAGTTTATAAAGGGGGCTTTTCTTGGATAGTCTCTTATTATCATCGAGGGCTGTACCGTTCCTGTTTAACTCACTTCCCTCCTCCGTTAGATGCTCACCCAGTCTCCACTCCTTCAAAAAATCATTCAAAACCCACTTCTTCATAAAAGTGTATCAATTAAACTGTTAATAGCTCCCGACTGATTCCTCTCTTGCAACTGTCATTAGTCTAATAGTATCCTTACCTTTTGTGTCACTTTACCCCACTCCCTCTAGCATGTAAGCTCATTGAGCAGGGCCCTCAACCCCTCTGTTCCTGTGTGTCCAACTTGTCTGGTTACAACTGCATGTCTGTTCGTCCACCCACTGTAAAGTACTGCGGAATTTGCTAGCGCTATATAAATAATAACATAATAATAATCATATAATCTCCACGAGTAATGGTACGCAATAGTTGGTTCTCTCTTGCTGCCTGTACAGCTGTGGACCTGTTTTGAAAAATGTTCCCACCTCTTATAACTTCCGATCCAGTACCACCACTTTATTTAGTCTACCTCAATACAAAAAGAAAGCGGCTCGATCCTCCTTTTCCTACAGAGCACCACAATTATGGAACGACCTCCTGCACACTTTCAAATCTTTCCCAGGCCTAAAATCCTTTAAGAGACCCCTCTCTGCATATCTCAAAACAGAATGCACCTGTAATGGTTGATTATATATTTCCTACCTGTTCTATGTTAAATGTTGTTTATATTGTGTATTAATATTTTTTTTGTATTTTATTGTGCCCTGTTGTATTGGCCGTTGTGATCACAGATTGCACTTTTATGCACATGATTATCGGTTCACATTTGCTCTTGTGATTGCATTATGCACTTTTATTCACACAATTGTGTGCTCACATTTGCACTTATTGTGCTCATATTGCACTTATGCACATGGTTTATGTGATCATGTTTTGCACCTTTATGCACATTAATTGTGTCCACATTTTATACTATATATGCATATGTATTTTTGTACATGATTTACGTGATTGTATCATGAAATCCTAAAGATATACTCTCTATGAAATACTCATTATGGCTTTTTTGAAATTTCATTGAAATTCCAACCCAGTCAAGAGTCATACAAAGGCAAAGTAGGGACTAGTTTTTCTCTGTCTTTCTCCTCCACCTGACTTTCTTAGATACAAGGCAGAGTCTAAGAGTCAACCCCTGAAATGACAGCTGTAGGGAATTTGCTATGTCTATGTAGGAACCCGCTGTCTTGCAGGATCCTCCATAGACCGCAATGCTTAAGTCTGCATGTGCAGGAGTACAGCAGTGATGACGGCTCTGAAGTGGACCCACCGGATCAAGACGGTATCACCCATGAGGGACACGGACAGGTAAGTAAACTTACCTTTACCTGCACCCCCTTTCCCTCCAGCCACTGGATCAGTTGCGATGTCACTATCAGGGGACTTTGTGAATTCCAAACAGTGACAGTGATGCTTTAACAATGGCTATCCAAACCACATATTGATACACAGTCACCTATACACATTGTATCCACACAGTAGACATTTTTACCAACTGCAGTATTTATGACATCATTACATATTAATATAAACGTATACTGTGACGAAAGCAACCTCGTCACTGGCTTTTGGAGGGGCCTGCTGGCCAGCCTCTTGCCTCAGGACTATGGGCCCTGCAATATACCATGCCCAATGCACTTTAAAAGGCTCTGTTCATGTGAAGTATGTACTTTTGTACTCCAGACAGAGAGACTGACCGTTAGCCCTAATTCTCTGAAACTGTTTTGGGCATGGGACCATGTGCACGGTGGGTCAAACATCAGACTTCCTGGAAATTCCTGAACCCCTAAACTGATCTGGGTGATTTTTGGATATGTTGGTCACCCAGATCAGTGCTATCAGAGGATGTAAAATTTTTAGGGTACTTTTGGGGTGTTTTAAAAAAGTATGTTTTTTTTCTATGCTTGGAGATAATTGAATTAGATTAGTACAGTTCCTGATTCAATTATCTCCCTAGCACAGATGGGAGGGATTGTGTGTTTGTATATGGGAGTGTCATGCATTTAACCATTGCTGTTATTGGTCTGTGACTTGGTGCTGCAGTTTCCCACAAGGTCCAGGTGGGAGTGCCCCTTGCATGGCGACTTGCATATAAGGCCAGTGGTGGCTGCCATTAAACAGAATGCTTTACCCCTTCATGAAGTCTTGGCTCATGATTTTCTACTCATGTTTATTTGTATTCTCTCAATCACATTATTACACTAAATACTTCTTGTTATGCTTTAGAAAGAAAGGGCTCACAAAGTAGTGCTATCACGCTCAAGAGAACTTAATGGAAAAAATAAGATATATGGAGAACAAGCATCCTCATAGTGCAGATTTATTACAATAGTTTGAGCAAGGCATGCCCATCAAAAAGCAGCAGTAATTACAATTGCAGCTAACTGCACCGGGCATCCATAATAGTTTAGGAGATTTTATGTCTTAGATTGTTAGGTTATTTTATGTGTTAGATTAGCCGCAAACAAGGGTGTTACACATCCCAATCTGATTGGCTGGAAGGGTTCTTCTTTTTTTTTCTCCGTACAAGCTTTTTTAAACAATGGCGTTGGGTTATATTATTTTATGTTGAGAAAGCGTCCAGTAGCAATGTGAAACGCGTTCAGTTCCCAGTTTCATTTAGTTTTTGTTGTTTATTTTTCGATGCCCGGTGATGTAATAAATCTGCAATACAAGAATTACCATCCTCCAGATATCTCTTTTTTTCATTAAGTTCTTTTGAGTGCGGCACCGCTATCTTGTGAGAATTTTCAGAACTGGAGCAACATTGCTGTCAGCACCGAGAACTTTGAGCACATTTACTGCCATGATGGAGTGAGTAATTCTTTTTTTTTTTTTTTTTTTAGTTGTTATTAACAAATCTTCTTCTTCCTTATTTGGGATAGCAGCACATACCTTTCTTTTGTTTGCTTTATTTCATATTCGAAAAAAATGCTTCCTTTATACAGTGGGCTTTTCCCCCGAGATTTCATTTTCAGCTTCTAGTTACTATTGCCGCTTGCATGTACGCAAGCCACTCTGGCCACACATGGCCTGTACACCGTCAATAAATTGTATAGTAATAATAATAACAATATATATTCTATTTAATAATTTTGCCCATTTAAATACAAAATACTTGAACGTTTAAATTTCTTTTCATGAGGTAAGCTGAGAAAGCATCTAACAACTTGTCCTTACAAGGAAACTGCTTTTTGGTTGGGAAAAAAAATATCAGTATACATTCCGTGCCATTTTCCCATATCTACATACTTGGCAAATAACTTTGGCATTTTATGAGAACTTGGCTTCCTTGATTTCCTTGGCTGAGAGGGAGCGCACACAAGACCCCCCTTACAGGCCCTGGGAAAATATAGCAAACAAAAAAAAAATTATATATATATATATATATATATATATATATAAACACACACATATATATATTTATTAGTCCAGTAAACAAGATGCCAAAATACCAGAGTATTGCAGTATGCGATGATACCTTTTTTATTGGACTAACATAATACTTAAAAGACAAGCTTTAGAGCAGGGGTCCTCAAACTCTGCCCCCCCCCCCCAGATGTTGCTGAACTACAACTCCCATGATTCTCTGGCTATCTATCCAATTCAAAGAATCATGGGAGTTGTAGTTCAGCAACATCTGGAGGGCCACAGTTTGAGGACCCCTGCTTTAGAGAGTTTTATTCTCTTCCTCATGTCTGAATTTGCTTTTTAAATTCACTTTTTTACTAATTCCTAATTTACTAAATAACTCTACACTAAATAGAGTGTAAAATCTTAGTTTGACTAGGGCACCAGAATTGCAAGATCTGGCCCAGTCCGTGCATTGATGACTCTTCCTGGACGTTATAGTTAAGAGAGTTGAAAGGTCGTTGTCAAATGTTGACAGAACGAAAGAATACAAACTAAGTCACTTTAACGATAAATACAAATTTTGGGACGGATGGAACAGGATGACATAAGTTACTTAACAAGCAGGAAGGGGTGTCAATCTTGAGAATTTCCCATACTTAGGACTTAACCCCTGTCCTATATTCTGAATTCTAAGCATTGCATATTCAGTGAGTAAACATATTGCTTATTAGCCACTGAATTTCTTTTATAAAGTGTTCATTGCAGTAAAAGTTTTACTGTATATGGAAATGATGTAATTATGCCTTTAGGGAGCGTACGCTCCTTCTGTTCTAAATTTGAAGCAATTATGTTTTTAGAACAGGTGTTGCCAGATATTATCAATGTGAATTGTTTTTAGAGTTTCACAATGGATAGTTAAGAATTTCCCAAAAATCATGTGTGTGTTTTATGTGTGTTTTTTTTTTTGCTGCCGAAGGTTTTATAGAATATTTATTTAACTACAAATTATTATTTTGCAGTGTTATTAACAAGACACAGGGGTGTATACAAAATTTTTTACATTGTATGCATGTGAAAATCCACTATTCAAATATACAGTGCATACATTTAACTACAAGAATACAATATTGTGATTTAAACACTAAATACAACATATTTTTTTGTTGTAATTTGGCTGCAATGGAAAAATAGATTTCGAGATCAATGCTTGAGGAACTTGAATGATTATTCATCCAATCTTTGATGTTCTATATCTATTGGAAGCTACATAACAATGTTGTAACAAAAGGATATTAAATATTAAAGAACAACTATTCCATTATGATTGGCCAAGGATATTCTAGATGTGAAGTTAATTATGAATTTCATTTGACCCTTATGGAATCTGGGCCATCACATTTTGGAATCGACCCTGTACCATATTTTAAAAGGACATCAAATTTGGGCAGGACCACTTGATATGTAAATACGCATTGTATGAAGCATTACAGTGGGATAACACGTCTTGACACAGTTTAATGTGTTTGTTCTTTATAACTGATAGTAAATGCATTGGCCAAATGGGTAATTACTTATCCAGTTCTAATATTCTTTCTACATTTGTTTTCTACTTATGACACAAGAAGAGCTGAGAGGACAAGCAAGAAGAGAGAAAAAAAAGTCAGGGGAAAGTCTAAGGTAAAATGCCCCCCCTACACTCTCTGTAAAATGCTGAACTGCATATCCTATCATATTCTCCTATGGATACAACTATGGGCTGATCAAATGGAGCTGCATTAATTACTAAGTTTGGCAATACCAGCCTTGGGACTTAAAGCTACCCAACTGTCTAAAAGAGTTGATGATTCTAGACCCTGGTCCATCACTATACTGTGATAAAGAAAGCTAATTATTGAAATCTCCAAGTCTATGAGTCAGAAAGTACCACCCTAAAGCACATCTGTTGAAATTGTGACACAATTCAGTGGGAGAAATCTGAAGCAATTCATTATGTTTATTGCATAACTATGTTTATTGCATGACTACAGATGCCAGCAAAAAGTGAAAAACACATTTGCAATTTAGTTCAATCCTGGTGATTCCCACTCCCTAGAGGAAGTAGCAAGACAACAAAAGGAAAGAGAATAATTTATATGCAAAGACTTGCTTTACAGGAGTGTAGGGGGTTTGTTCAACTTGTCCATAGATTTAAATGAGATAGATGCATAGATACATTTACTCATTTATAGCATCCACCTGGAGTCCTACTTTCTCATCTTGGGGTTATAAACAGTGAAGGAAATGGAACTCAAGATGGTTTTAACCAAAAAATGGCCAAATCTTGATTGTAGTCACACAATCTATTACAGACCTCCTGATCTGGATAATAGTTATTTTTACAGCACACACATTGTGATTAATTTGTAAACTTCTAATTTTGGAGTTCTTGTTTGCTAATGAATTTAAAAAAAAAAATTATATTCCTTAAAATTTCTACTCTAACACGACCCTATGCTAGATATGTGTAGATTTGTGGATATTGTACATTTAACTAGATCTTTCTTTTACACGTCTTCTGGTGTATTTAACTTAAGTCCAGACACTGTACCTAAATTTAGCTTTTAATTAATAGCGTTTACATTCTCACGGCCCAGGAATACTAGAACTTTAACAGTTATTTCGAGAGCATAAGAGAAATATAAAATAAATTCTAAGAATCTTTTTAAAAAAAAACACAAAAAAACCCCACACTGTAAATATGCATGGCATTACGTCCAGTGATTTATTTTTCCAATGACAGTTAAATTAGTCTGTAGTTAACTATTTATATAATGAGCATATGCCAAGTTCTCATAAAATGCCAAAGTTATTTGCCAAGTATGTAGATATGGGAAAATGGCACGGAATGGATGTATACTGATATTTTGTTTTCCCCACCAGTTATTAATAACGCTTCTTAGACACTAGATCTTTGGAGAAAAAAAAAGAAAGCAAGAAAAACAGGAACTGCTCAAGACGTTTAACTCCCTTAACGTCCAAAGACACAGAAGACATATTGCGAGTCAGTGTTTTGCAGGAAGTTCTACTGTTTGATAAAGAATGGGATCTATGACAACACAGGATGCCCTCTGATGGGCTCCTTTAGTCATAAGGGATACACATTACCTAAAAGATAGCCTTTCCTGCATTTAATTCTGATGTGCTTTCTGTTCCTTGCAGAGCTACCACGTTTTCATCTGCCTGGTTTGAAGAGGTCAACTGGTAACAGAAAGATAAAAAAGCTACTGAGAAGCATGGTACTCCCTCAACTCAAGCTAATTTTCCTGGCTGTTCTCCTGCTGTTGCTACTTGGAACCTATGCAGATGACCAAAGTAATTGTGTCAACAACGTCTGCTACACTGTTCATCTGGGCAAACAAAACTTTCAGAATGCCAAAGATAAATGCATTTATAATGGAGGGGATCTGGTTACCATAAAAAGTCAAGAAGAAGCTGAGCATGTAAAAAACTTACTTTTGCAACTAAACAGCAGTCTAACAGATACTCCTTTAAAGCTTTGGATTGGACTCCAGCTGAATAAGAATAAGTGCTACGTGCCCCACAAGTTGCTAAAAGGATTTTCCTGGGTCACAGGAGATAAGGAAACTGAAGAAAGCCAGTTCTCTAACTGGATGCAAGAACCTAGGAGTACTTGCACACAAGCCCGGTGTGTCACCATTCACTTGGACTTCATGTCAACTGAGAATTACAAATGGTTGGATGGCAAGTGCATAAATCCGGTTGATGGCTACCTCTGCAAATTCCAGTTTAAAGGTATGTGCAAACCAGTGGCCCTTGCAGGCCCAGGAAATGTTGAATACTTTGCCCCAATTGAAATGTCAACTGCATCTTTGTCTTCACTTCCCCATGGCTCTATGGCTACAATACGTTGTGAGGATAATAGTGTAAGTCAGATAGTCTGCAAAGAACACGAGGATGGAAATGGCTTTCATTGGGATTCTGAAGGACCTCTGTGTGCTTCACCAAACCTTGGTTGTGATTACAACAATGGAGGCTGCGAGCAGGAATGTATTAGGGACTCAATAACAGGGTCTGTTCACTGTGGTTGCCGAGATGGCTATGTTCTGGCATCGGACCTGATATCTTGTGTTTTACCCCAAAATTGCCAGTCCAACCCATGCCAGCACAGATGCACAAACAGCTATCAAGGCTATGAATGCACATGTATTGAGGGATATGAACTTTCAGAAAACAAACTAAATTGCACAGATATAGATGAATGTCAGCAGAAGCCTTGTCAACAAGTATGTACCAACACATTAGGTAGCTTTGAGTGCAGTTGCAAAACAGGCTACATACTACATGACAACAAGTGTGTTGATCAAGATGAATGCATTAACTCTCCTTGTGAACATGGCTGTTTAAATACAGCTGGTTCCTTCTACTGCTCCTGCAAAAATGGATATGAAGTTGGCAATGATGGGTTGACTTGTCATGATGTAAATGAGTGTACTAAGTCACCATGTGCTGAGATGTGCAGTAACGTCCCTGGGAGCTATGTCTGCTTTTGTCCAGATGGATTCCTGTTATCATCCGATGGCATCTCTTGCTACCCGGACACATTAAATCAAAATACCAATACTAATGGGCAGGTTGGTCAAGAGATGAAACCTAAAGGCAATCAAACCATAACCAGTTTTGATAACACCGATCACTCTACCACCAGCCCGATGTCTCCAGATTCCTTAAAGGACGCATCAGTCATAGAGAACACTATACAACTGGTAACCTCTCCCATGACTTCTGAGTTTGATAGTTCTTCTGGAGATGAGCTTGTGGATAAGGTTTCTACTGATCAAACTCCTGAGCACAGGACATTGATACTAATCAGTACAATTTGTGCCTGTGGGGTTTTGTTACTGTTGGCTGTGGTTGCAGGCATTGTGTGCTACAAAAGGAGAAATTCCGAAAAAGAGGATGACTATAAGCCACCCAGTGCAACCGATAATTATTGTTGGGTACCTGAACAATCTGAAAACAAAGTACCAAACAATGAATATGGTAACGACTTCAGAAGATAGTACCCCGAAGCCTGTAAGGATCATATTGTTGCTCTTTATTAAAAACTAAATTAAAAAGTTAAGCAGAACTGTGAGAAATAATGACATTGTTATGATTTTTATAGTTAATTGGCGTATCTTGTGGTTGTATGTGGTTTTAGAAACAGGTGAAGAAAAGTCAGTAAAAGTAATATTTCCTGGATCATTTATACATATTTTTTATTATGCATTGAATGATGGCTCATTTTAATGCATATTTAGGATTCTGGTCGATATTAAATAATGCAATACTGTGGCATTTCTAGGGCAAAGTGCTAATTGCTCCATATTTGTCAATCTACTAATTTTAGTACTAATGATTTTTATTAGCCCATTGTATGTATTCATGATGTTGATGTTGAAAATTACCACAAGAGGGTTTATTTACAAAAGTGAGAATTCAAAGTGAATTCAAATTAAAGGTCAATATAGCCAATAATTTCTCTAAGTCAACCTCTGAGGGTTATTTACTAACATGAGAATTGTGAGGGATTCAAAGTGGATTTTACATTTAAGGTTAACGTAGCCAGACTGGAAGCCTAGGGGACTTAGACAAATTTCCATTTTGTTTACTTACACTTAAATATGAAATTTAATTGCATTCACCTTGAATCCCCCACAGTTCCCATTTCAATAAATAACCTTACTAGTTTTTATTTTGCATTAGTAAATGGTCTATTCAGACGACTATCTGGGAACATCAATCACCTCTATTCAAGCAGGGCTTTCCACTGTGACATAGTAGCAACAAAAAAATCACAGATTAGTATGCCCAAGTATCGGAAAAGTCACTATAGCAAATTAAATAGTGAACTGTGGTGAATTGAGAAACTGACCTGCGATCTTGAGATTGAAATAAAATCACGAGGATTTATTCAATAATAATGAATTTATTCAAACTGAAAACTGTATTGCAAACGTATTTGTAAAAAAGCCTCTATATTAGACATGTCACACCTTGACCATTTTAGCCTGAAACATACAATTTAATTTTTAGTTCACTACAAATCACAGTTTAGTGAACAAATCCCTAGGAATCTAAGTCAGATGCTGAGAGTTCCCAGGTCCGTTGCTGTGCTGTGTACTGATGGTGAATACACATGTATTGCATAAAATGTCAAATGTGAATATAGTCCATTTCTAATGATTTTTTTAGATCCACTTTTTTTTTTATTAGCAAATGAATGCGTTAGAGTAGAAAATGTTTTTTCTATGAACGTTGTTTCTTTTTTGAAGAAATAAAGAAAAATTAATAGAATTTTTTTTGTGTGTGTGTGAAAATGGGCGTTACAATTCTTTGTAATTTTAAAAGAAAGATAGTTTGTTTCACAATGGTTTTTTGACGTATCTACCATATCATTTATACTAATACAATGTGTAAGTCAGGTTAAAGTTAGTTATGCCGGGTGTTTCATTAAGCTTCTTTAATTTTTTTTTAAAGGGACATTGTAGACACCACAACTACTTCAACATGGAGTCGATAGGTGCCGTGGTGTCGATGTTAAAAGGACACTATAGTCATCAGAACAACTACAGCTTAATGTAGTTGCTCTGGTGAGTATAATTATTATATGCAGGCATTTTCAGAGAAAATTGTCAGAGAATAGGCAGTGTTTACATTGGCTCTATGGACACCTCCAAGTGGCCACTCCTCAGATGGCCACTGGAGGTGCTTCCTGGCTCAGTGCTGCACAGTGTCTCCACGCTCTGCATGGGGATGCTGAATTTTCCTTATAGAGATGCATTGATTCAATGCATCTCTATGAGGAGGTGCTAATTGGCCATAACGTCGTTTGGACCAGCCCACTTGCCGATGTTAGCCAATCCAATGCTTTCCCCATGGGAAACAACTGGATTGGCTAAAAATCTGCAATTCTGATGATGTCACCAAGGGGACGGGCCAGTGCCGGCAGACACGTACTGTGCTGGAAATAAGGTACGTTTTTCATGCTTTTAAGGGGGCTAAGGGGAGGCAAGCCACCTAAATGGTGGGTTTTGCACTATAGGGTCAGGAATACATGTTTGTGTTCCTGATTCTTTAGTGATCCCTTAAACTGTCTACTCACTGTTTAACAGAGATGCTCTGTCCTGGCAATCTGTCACCTGGCCCCCAAAGATGAAATGGTGAAGGCGGAGCTATGCTCTGGGTATAGTGGGTGGTGACAGTCTAAGAGCATCCGCTTAGCTCTCAACCAATGAGTGCTCCAATCCCTGGTATGAATTGGCATGACAAGAGGCAGAAACATAACTCCATATCGTTATTGGGGCCCAGGATGCAGGCTGCCACATGTCCGCTAAACGGTAAGTAAATACACTCCAAGCCCACCGACTCTAACCACCATATATGTAAACAAAAAAATGTGTGTGTGTATATATACTATTCTTATAATAGGACTATTGTTATGTTGTTTAAGGGTAATGTACAGGGTAGTGTAAAGGTTAATGCATGATGTTAGTGTAGTGTAGGGGCTTAATATTTAGGGATAGCGTAATGTAGTGTAGGGGGTTAATATTTAGATATAGTATAATGTAGTGTCAGGGGTTAATATTTAGAGATAGTATAATGTAGTGTCAGGGGTTAATATTTAGGGATAGTATAATGTAGTGTAGGGGGTTAATATTTAGATATAGTATAATGTAGTGTCAGGGGTTAATATTTACAGATAGTATAATGTAGTGTAGGGGGTTAATATTTAGAGATAGTATAATGTAGTGTCAGGGGTTAATATTTAGGGATAGTATAATGTAGTGTAGGGGGTTAATATTTAGGGACAGTATAATGTAGTGTATGGGTGTTAATATTTAGAGATAGTATAATGTAGTGAAGGGGGTTAATATTTAGACATAGTATAATGTAGTTTAGGGGGTTAATATTTAGAAATAGCATAATATAGTGTAAGGGGTTAATATTTAATGATTGTATAATGTAGTGTCAGGGGTTAATATTTAGAGATCGTATAATGTAGTGTAGGGGGCTAATATTTAGAGATAGTATAATGTAGTGTCAGGGGTTAATATTTAGGGATAGTATAATGCAGTGTAGGGGGTTAATATTTAGAGATCATATAATGTAGTGTAGGGGGTTAATATTTAGGGACAGTATAATGTAGTGTAGGGGTTAATATTTAGAGATAGTATAATGTAGTGTCGGGGGTTAATATTTCAGGTTAGTATAATGTAGTGTTAGGGGTTAATATTTAGACATAGTATAATGTAGTTTAGGGGGTTAATATTTAGAAATAGCATAATATAGTGTAAGGGGTTAATATTTAGAGATAGTATAATGTAGTGTCAGGGGTTAATATTTCGGGTTAGTATAATGTAGTGTACGGGGTTAATATTTAGAGATAGTATAATGTAGTGTCAGGGGTTAATATTTAGAGATAGTATAATGTAGTGTAGGGGGTTAATATTTAGGGACAGTATAATGTAGTGTAGAGGGTTAATATTTAGAGATCGTATAATGTAGTGTAGGGGGTTAATATTTAGAGATAGTATAATGTAGTGTAGGGGGTTAATATTTAGGGACAGTATAATGTAGTGTAGGGGGTTAATATTTAGAGATCGTATAATGTAGTGTAGGGGGTTAATATTTAGAGATCGTATAATGTAGTGTCAGGGGTTAATATTTAGGGACAGTATAATGTAGTGTAGGGGGTTAATATTTAGAGATAGTATAATGTAGTGTAGGGGTTAAAGTGGTGGTCCTTAGTATAAGTGTAAGAATAGCCATCTCCCCAGGGTAACCCTGGGACATACATACTGGTGCCTGAGAGTAGGAGGAGGTGCAGTCCAAGTTGGCAGCTATTTTGCGTCTGCCGATAATTAACACCCCAAATTATCCATGTGCCATAACAATTAGTTTTTTCTTAATTAAAAGAAAGAATACTTTGATGAATGAACCATAATATATATTCCAAAATTAAATTACAAATCCAAATGTGGCTGGAGCTGCTGCTGCTCAGAAGTGTAACTCCCAATAATCTCAGGTGGATTGTGACATGTACGTCCCGGTTCTTCCTGAGATTAGGGGCCCTGAACTGCACAGACATGATCTGTGACATATTACCCTTTCATTACAGAAAATAATAGTATGGATGACGTCACCATTTTAAAACGTGATCAGCACATTATTTCAAGGTTGTGAGCCTGTAGTAAAGATGTCTCTCCTTTAGTTGAGGACATTCTCTCCTCTAAATTGAGGTATTGAGCATTTGATTCTCATCTCTGGGTACGCCTGCCCATTAAAAGGGTGTACCATTAAGGGGAAAGAGCCTGACTGCTGAACTGGATGGTCGCACGCTGCCTGAGCTCTGGGCCTAGGTCCAGTAATCTGCCTGAATTATAAACCAAAAACAACCGTTAGCCACTTTTTTACGCTACAAGACACTTGTGAGCGGTCTGGGGACACGGTGCTTGCTGCTACTCTGCCGACGAACAGCAAATCCATGCCAGAACAGCTTGCAGTAGGCTGAGGCGGGGGGAGGTCAGCCGCTCTCCTTGCCCTCGGACGGGCTGCGGAGCCTGAATTTGCTACCACCCTGCTCTATGGACCGGCGGGGGTTATCCTGGTCCTCCCTGAGGCGCATATATAGAAATGGAAGTGCACTCAACCCTTCGTTGTGGAATCCAGGGTGCTCCATGGAAAGTCCCAGTACCCAAATGGACCAAATATAAATTTAGTAAATGTAGAAAGTAATCCAGGCACTCCAACAGATTCCAAAATCAAGGCAGTTTATTAGAACCAGGAACTACACAGCAACGTTTCAGCCCCTTAGGGCTTTTGTCAAGCTACTAAAGCACATACAAAATTCACAATATATAGGTGTATATAATGATTTAACAAGTGGACAAATATGTGATACAATAATTAGTTACTCCCATTATCAATCAATAATGATACACATATAAGTAAAACATAATTGTCTCTCCAATGATCATCTCAGTTATTAGGGGTGTCAGGAAACACAGAGTGTCTCAGCCAATAACATCTAATTTTATTAGTCATTAAGTTAAATTATTTCATTGAGAACACATTGTATCCAATCACTTATAATAAGATAAAATAATTTAATCTCTATTGGGAACACCAAAGAAACGCTAGGCACTTACATTTCCGGGTGTAATCACGTGGTTTAAATCAAGTGACCACCACCAGTGACCACCACCAGCTAATTCCATACAGCTATTCGTCCCAATCACGTGATTCAATCACCTGATCTGGCGAGAACAAATGGCAACCGCGTGTAAATGCGCATGCGCAAAAAACTATATCTATATCGCGCATGTGCCGACTCACGCATGTGCAATATATTCTATTGCACCCAAAGAAATTAGTTACCAAGTAATCAAGACGCGCACACGCTGCATCGTGCATGCGCGATCACGCTAAAAAGGGATCTCATGATATATAACCAACTACCCAACGTCTCGCTATGCCCAGCCCACTCCAAACTTCCACTACTGGGGCTACACCGGAGGAGGGCATAGAAAAGACCTGGGAAATTACCCTACAGAGCGAGACAAAGTCTGCCACTGCAGATCAGACCCGATGAGACTCCTCAGGGAAAGACAGGAATTCAAGCCGGTCAGAGCTCCAGCGACACACAGTGCAACTTGGGAGGAAACAGAGGCATCACAAAAGGCCCCAACACAGGCGGCTCGGATCACCAACGACTCGCAACACGCACGGACCAAGGCTCCCTCAGAGAAGAACCCCTATATGCAGGCCGGCAGGGCGGGTGACTCTTGCGTACAGCCGGTCTCATCGTGGCGGACACAAAAGGCTTGTGCAAGCCGACGCAAGGAGCCAAAGGGACAAGCCTGGAGACTCAAGCTCTCCTACAAGTCAAACTGGACTTAGCCTGACAGCCATGGGAATAGGTTGAGTTGGCTATATGTGAGGGGACGCTAGTTCTGTCAATGCCGGAACCTGCAGCTTCTCCTCCCTCAAAATACTGCTCTTAAGTTGCCATTTATATCATGTATACTTTCACCATATTATGCATAGCTTTGTTCCACGTAGCATGTTCACTACCCTCCAACTTGCCTAATTGGTCTCATGATAATTTAGGTTCACAACTGTGTTTCCATAAAGCCAAAACCCACTACCCAGGGGAATCATTGCTAATAGAAGGGTCAGATAACACAGCATGACATATCCCCAGTTTTTCTCTAACTCACTACTGAAATGCTCTCTACTGTGCTCATGTTATACTAGGCTATACCATACTATTCAGACTAATAATAGGTCGGTTACCTAGCCTGTTCCCATTAACGCTCATATTAGCATACCTACTGACACACTATGTATGACCATGGTTTATTATACAAATTGTGCAGTCCCACCTAATGTCATGACGTTATGTGCACGCTTAATGCCTTACCATTTTCTGACACAACCCGCATTAATCTGTTAGTTACTTAAAAAAAAAAGTGCAGTTCTCTTATATAGTAAAAACCAAAGAAAAAAAGTTACCTGCGCTCTCTCCTTCATCCCTATCTATATTTAAACAAATGGAGGTCATTTAGTTACTCCAATGGCCACTGGAGGGAATGCCCACCTGCCAACGTTAAGGCAGACCCCCCTAGACGGGTCCTACTCTGACCCTTCAACTTGCTTCCTTGAGCTTCTGGCAAAGATCTCTAATGAGACAGAATGGGTATTTTTTTATATACACCCCTATATACTTATTAACCCTTAATAGGGAACACATGGGATGAGCGGCAGCATTGTAACCTAGCTGTGTGATACAAAAAATGAATACAAATACAAAAAGAAAAGTCCTGCGCTCACTCCCATCACTCCTGGGCGGCAGCAACGACTACAGTACACATCAGCTCCAATACATATAGTAAAAAAACAGAAAAAAAAGTTACCTGCGCTCTCTCCTTAATCCCTATGTATATTTAAACAAATGGAGGTCATTTAGTTACTCCAATGGCCACTGGAGGGAATGCCCGCCTGCCAACATCAAGGCAGAGCACCCTAGACGTGTTCTACTCTGACTCTTCAACTTGCTTCCTTGAGCTTCTGGCTTCTTTGCCATGAAACTATATGTTTCTAACAAGATTATGCACGTGAGAATTGTCTATAATTTCAAGTGAATTCAAAGTGGATTTCAAATTTAAAGGAACACTTGGGACCACAAAAGCAATTTACATGTGTAAAATTTTTTTTACAAAAAGTGCAGATTTCAATACAAATTGGCTGTCAATCAGACAACAGGTCCTGTTACTTCCTGGTTTGTTTAGCTAAAATCAAGAGTCAGCAATTGCTCAAAGCACCTGCCTTGCAAAGACTTCTCATTGAGCTGCATTGGGAGTCTGTGATTGGACAGCTACAGAAAGTCTAAGCGGGGTTAGAAGGGGAGGGCTTGCAAAGATTTCCGACAAGAGATCTGCAGATTTTGCATGTTGTTTTTAGATATATCCTGAATTAAAAAATACATACTAAATGCATGCATGTTTCCATTTGGGGTATATTTACTAAGCAGTGATTTATTTATTTTTTAAATTCAGGCAATGGAGTGTCATTTCAAGGTCAAAGTAGAAAAAAACGAAAGCATAGCTGACTTGGAGAACGTTCCCAGTCTGGCTACTTGGACCTTAAATTTTAAATTTGAATAACACTGTAGGTGATTCAGTGTGTTGCACACCATGTGTTTCTCACCTGTCTGGCACACATTTCACTGTGGTGCACACAATGCATTACTCATCCCTGTGGCACACAAAAGCTAATAGTCGTGATGGTTCAGATAGAGTCTGTTATGTGCAGATTCCCAGGGAAATTGGAATGCCTGACTCATGATATCACTTTTTATACAGAGGTGTGAAAAACAGCAACACTTCTTGTGGGCTGTGTAGAAACAGAAAGAGCAAAGCATTTGCCAGTTTTCAAGCTGAATTTCCTAATAGTTGATAACTACCATTTCTTGGGTGTACGCCAAGATATATAGTAAGGAGATAGGGTGCTGGAAAATTTATATCAAATATTAACTAATATTCCTTACGTTTCCCTTACTAAACTCAGTACTACAGTGTGTCTATTACAGCCTTTTATAAATAGTCCCCGTGAAACCACCTTGATTAAAAACAAATACTGCAGACAAAAACAAAAAGCAAAAATATTATGATAGAATGCAAATACAGTGAACAGCAACAAAAACAATATATAAATATTAATAATATACATGACAAGGGCAACATTTATTTACTACTAGCATTCATGAAGCACCAACATATTCCGCAGCGCTGTACAATTAGGGGAGAACATAGAATATACACAAACAGATACAAAAGGTAAAGAGGGCCCTGCCGTAAGCTGAGTTCTAGTCATTTTTAGATTGCTTTTATACAAAGTACTTGGTTAGATAGCCCATGAGCTTACAATCTCAAGGATATAATGGGGATTTGAGACAAGAGCAGCAGGGGGAATTTGGAAGTGATGGACAAAGGAAGAAAACAGAGAAGTTGGAGGAGCATGCTATATATTTAGTAGGAACCTGGGTGGGTAGTGCTTAAAAAATAGAGATGCAATATTGCTTGGTTCTGGGTGTGTGAAGTCGGGCCTAATGAAGAGTGATGGAGATGAAACAGTTATATGAAGGTATTTACAGCCAGGAGGGGCAAAGAAAAGAGAGATGGGGAGGGTAGAGTAAACATTTGTTGTATACTATTGAAAGGTTTACCAACTAAATGCTACCAACCAAAATATTAATAACTGTGTGTACATAAAATATTGGTGGAATATATTAAATGACAATAATAAAAAGCTGCATGCACAGAAAATGACAGTGGCAAACTACAGGTATAATTGGTAACAATGCTATAGTAACAAAAGAGAATATGGTAAGTGTGACGAACTTGGAAGGGCATACTTGCCATCCTCTTGCCCTGTGACTATGGCCCCTGTGTTAAATCTGGGTTAAAGACTCTGTTTGTGCCTGTGGGGAACCATTCGAACTTTCGAAGTGGCACTACGAACGCCCGAAGCCATTTGAAGAGCCCTTCGACCATGTAGCGGGGGCCATCTTAAGCCGCAAGTACAATGAGTAGTGTTTGGTCGTTGAGTTCGTGGAACTCAAATCGTACACTCGACGTTGCGAACACCGCTGAACTTTACCTTCCATGGAAGTTCAGCTATTCGAACGGGAGTTGAATGGTGTTCGGTAAAAAGACACTCACGAACAAGAGACATATAATGACTTTATCCATGAATGGGTACGTTTGGTATTTCAAACTGTACTTCGAATCCCCGAAGTAGACCGGCCACACAGCCTGATTCTCTGGAACTGTTTTGGACATGAAACAATGCGTGCGGTCGGTCAAAATAAGACTTCCAGGAAATTCCTGAACCTCTGAACTGATTTGGGTGATATTTGGATATATTGGTAACCCAGATCAGGGCTATCAGAGGATGTACATTTTGGGGGATTGTATGTGTTTTTAGGGTACCTTTGGGGTTTTGCAAAATGTGTGTGTTTTGTGTTTGGAGATAATTGAGTTCAGTATAGTGCTTGACTCAATTCTCTCCTAAGTAAAGGGGAAGGCTTATTGTATGGTATGTGGGAGTATCATACATTGTAAACATGTTATCATTGGTATATAAGTTTATGTCCCTGTCCCCAAAAAGGTCCATGCTGGTGTACACCTTATTTGGAGATTTGCATAAAAGGACAGTGTGGCACTATTAAAATCCAGTCCTGCTTTACCCTCAACATAGAGTGCTTGGAGTCCTCGGTGAGCACTAGGAGCATCGATTGACGGAGGCACCCGGTCAGGGTGGCAGGAGGTCCATCACAGTAAGTAAGAATAAATGAGGTGGAGTATTTTTATAGTACATTTATCTGACCAGCCAGGTGAGCTACTCTGTGACAGCACACATCGCAACACACAGCCAAACCACCAGCCAAACAAACACACTCATCATATCACTATACACCCTGAGGTTTACTGAAAGGATGTTTCACGTTTTAGATGTTACAAACAGGCAGGATGCCAACAGATGGGCAATACATGTTCAGAAACGTACTCAAGCTAGTTCAGCCATCCTGCAATTAACCATCTAAAGTGGAGGGGAGGGGGAGGGAGGGGGCAAAAGGTAGATCAATAGATATTTCAAAGCTACAGCTTCCATGATGCTTTGCCAATCTCAAGGCATGCACAGCATCATGGGAGTTGTAGTTCTACAACATCTGGGGAGCTACCATGTGGGCATCCCTGATCTAAAGGATCAAACACCATTTACAATGATAATAAATATTTATTTACATTTATCAGAATGATTTCAAATTGGCACATACGTTCAGGTAAGGACCTACATTTGGGACAACAAGAACAATTGAGTCATGTATTAGGGTGTGCCCATGGTGTACATGTTCCCATCTCCACTCAGATACCTGGCACATGAAATACAATAAATATAACTGTTTAGAAGATAAACCCTGAATGTTGCGATCAGGATGATATCCTGAGCGCATGTTTAGGGGGCTAACACGCCCCTTTACTTTTAATCAGTCTTGTTAAAAAATCAATCAGCGTTTCAGTCCTGCATGATTGTAAGTTTGCCACATTAGATGTTCACAACGTGTTACTATGGTAACATCACATAATGTTGTCAAGACAAGGAGCGGGTTAACCCCCTACACATGCGCTCAGGATGTCATCCTGATCGCAACATTTTTTGTTTGGCCGCGTTACTATGACAACGACGGCCGTGTATGCACGACGTCACGTTAGGGGGCAGGGGTTATCCTCGCACATGCGCACACTTCTGGGTTGGACGCCGGTCACACTACAGAGCACCTGGGGTGAGTCTATTTACATTTTATTGTATCCTATATATATATTGTCCATTGCACA